CCCTGGTTCAAGTAATCTTCCTGCCTCAGCATCCTGAGTAGCTGGAATTGCAGGCGAGCACCACCATGCTTGGGTAATTTTTGTATTTTTAGTAGAGACCGGGTTTTGCCATATTGGGTAGGCTGGTCTCAAACTCTTGACCTCAAATGAGCCACCATTCTTGGCCTGTTTGTTTGCTTTTTGTTTTTGTTTTGAGATGGAGTTTCACTCTTGCCAAGACTGGAGTGCAGTGGTGTGATCTAGGCTCACCACAACCTCTGCCTCCCAGGTTCAAGCAATTCTCCTGCCTCAGCCTCCCGAGTAGCTGGGACTCCAGGCATGAGCCACCATGCCTGGCAAATTTTTGGTATTTTTAGGAGAGTTGAGGTTTCATCATGCTGGCCAGGCTGGTCTCAGATTCTTGAGCTCAAGTGATTTGCTGGGCCCTGCTGGTTTTTTTTTTTTTTTAATAGAGAAGAGGTCTCAGTGTGTTGCCTAGGGCATTTTTGAACTCCTGAGCTCAAATGATCTTGGTGTGACCTCCCAAAACGCTAGGATTATAGCCGTGAGCCGCCACGCCTGGTGATCTCTAATTTTTAAAATAAAACTAATCTCAAAGTTTGGTTAATCTTCAAGCTAATGTGGAAATGTGAGTGGCATGTGCTAGAGTAATCTTTCTCCCGTAGACATCTTCGACAACCTGGCATTCATCCCAAGACCCCCAATAAATTTAAGAAGTATAGTCGACGTTCATGGGACCAACAAATCAAACTCTGGAAGGTGGCTCTGCATTTTTGGGATCCTCCTGCTGAAGAAGGATGTGATTTGCAAGAAATGTATGTCTTTACTGCATTCTTATTCTGTGTTTCTCTGATTGGTGACTGAAGTGACTGAAGCATCTGTGTCACTGGGACAGGAGGTTCTGACGCCAGGTACCCCAGCAGCTGTTGGGGAGCCGAGCAGCTGCTGCAGCTTAGTGCTGAGTTCTGTGCTGGGTCGGGGGCAGCCGGCGGGAGGAGTTTGCTTCCTGGATTGAATTAATGTTTTTGAGCACGGTCAATCTGGGAATACACAGTTTTTGTTTGTTGTTGTAGTTGTTTTCCCCCAAATTACAACAGTGTCTGGAATTTGGTTTTCTCAAATACAAATATCCCAAAAAGTATCTGAGTCATTTCTGTTCAACCATGAAAATAAAAGATCTTAATTAAGGAAGGTTTTCTTTCCCTGTTGGCTTTTAAACTTGTGCCTAGTAGAAATGTCTCAGGCCTGAATTCCGCTTCATCATGGGAATATGGGCTGACCAGGGAGATAGAGTGATCTTATACCTCTCTTCGTCTGTGTGGGGTTTCTTCTCAGCTCCCCTCTGGTCCTGAGCCCCTCCCTTCCTCGGACACATTCTTCCAACAAACATTTGAGTTTCTATTCTGTGCTGGGAAATTTACTAGAGACTAGCATGTTTAAAATGCTTTGTAACGTGGCTTTACTGGTTTGGCCTGACAGAAGTGATTTGGGTTTTTTTTCCAGTGTGACACCATTGTCCCATTCTCTGAATAGAAACTTGAAACAGTTAGTGATAATGTATAGTATGTTTCACCACAGTGCTTGTTTATCCCCATCAAAAATTGGGCTTATGAGTGCTTCTGTTTCCAAGGATGCTTGTGTGGTGAGCCCAGCAGATCTTTTTGCTGCTGCTTTTTGCCATTGGCTTTCTCTCTGCTGGATTGATTGGGCTGGGGTTGAGTCTGGCAAATAGTCATTGAAAGCTGACCCCTCAGGGAGCCTAGGGGACACTGTCAGTGTTGTGGCTGTACCACATGGGTGGGGTTTGTCTGTAGAGAATTCATCTGCGCCCTGTCTCCTGGCCTTGTTAAACTAGTGCCTGACACACCTGTTGGATTTCATTTCACAGACACCCTGTAGACCTTGAATCTGCAGAAAGCAGCTCCGAGCCCCAGACAAGCTCTCAGGATGACTTTGTAAGTACTTTCTTTGGATAAGTCAGTTGGGATTTGCAGATGAATTGTTAACACATACTGTCTTACAAACTGAAGTTTGGGTTGGGTGTGGTGGCTCATGCCTGTAATCCCAGCACTTTAGGAGGCTGAGGTGTTGGCCAGGCTGGTCTTGAATTCCTGACCTCAGGGCAGATCACCTGAGGTCAGGAATTCAAGACCAGCCTGGCCAACATGGTGAAACTCTGTCTCTACAAAAATACAAATAATAGCCAAGCGCGATGAGGGGTCCCTGTAGTTCCAGCTACTCGGGATGCTGAGGTGGGAGAATTGATGGAACCTGAGAGCTGGGGATTGCAGTGAGCTGAGATCCCGCCATTGCAGTCCAGCCTGGGCAACAGAGTGAAACTCTTTCTCAAAAGCAAACAGAAAAACTGAAGTTTGGGCCGGGTGTGGTGGCTCACCCCTGTAATCCTAGCACTTTGGGAGGCCGAGGCGGGCAGATGACCTGAGGTCAGGAATTCAAGACCAACCTAGCCAACATAGTGAAACCCTGTCTCTACTAAAAATACAAAAATTAGCTGGGCGTGGTGGCAGGTGCCTGTAATCCCAGCTACTTGGGAGGCTGAGGCAGGACAATCACTTGAACCTGGGAGGCAGAGGTTCCGGTGAGCTGAGATCGTGTCATTGCACTGCAGCCTGGGCAACAAGAGCAAAACTCTGTCTCAAAAAACCCCACAAAAAACTGCAGTTTGATTCTGATGCTCACAGGAAAGGACTTCTACCTTTGATGACTCCCATCATCAAGATGTCAGGGATCATAAGATTGAATTCTGAGGTAATGACCTTAAAGGTTTTTAGTTCAGTCTAACAAATCAGTTTCACCATTTTCATTTATTTGAAGTCAAAGGAGCCAGCTGTGGTGGCACAGTCTGCATGCGGTCTCATCTACTCTGGAGGCTGAAAGAGGAGGATTGCTTGAGCTCAGGTTCAGGATCAGGGCTGCAGAGTCTCACTGTGTCACCAGGCTTGAGTGCAGTGGCACATTCTCAGCTTATTGCAGCCTCCATCCCTCAGGTTCGAGCAGTTCTCCTGCCTTGGCCTCCCAAGTAGCTGGGAACACGGGTGTGTGCCACCACACCTGGCTAAGTTTTGTATTTTTAGTAGAGATGGGGGAGGGTGTCTCACCATGTTGGCCAGGCTGGTCTCCAACTCCTGACCTCAAATGATCCACCCACCTTGGCCTCCCAAAGTGCTAGATTACAGGTGGGAGCCTTGTGCCTGGCCTGGACCCTCCAAAAAAGAGGCTGGGCATGGCATCTCACACCTATAAACTCAGCACTTGGGGAGGCTGAGGCAGGAGGATCACTTGAGCCCAGGAATTAAGGATCAGCGTGGGCAACATATGGAGGCCCTGTCTCTACAAAAAAACAAATTAGCTGGGTACGGTGGTGCGTTCCTGTAGTCTCACCTAGTTAACCTAACATAGGAAGATTGCTTTAGCCCAGGAGGTCAGGGATGCAGTGAGCTGTGATCATATCACTGCACTCTAGCCTGGGTGACAGAGCAAGACCCTCTCTCAAAAAATAAATACCTACAATACATTAAGAAAAGAAAAGCTTTTTCTCCGAGTCTAGGATCTACATATGCATTGTCACTAGCATTCAAGTGTGGGCCATGTAGTTTGTGCTGGCATAGGAATTACCTGCTAATTGTTACCAAATAAGGGAGGAATGCATTGTACCTAGGGATTTTCTTTACATTTACCAGTTTTGAAAAAAATACATGTTTGTTCAAAGCAGTGCACAAAATTGGCTCATGTCTAATTCTGTAGTTAATGATTGGGAGCATGTTCTTCTAGACCTTGCATGTGTACCAATGTACAGTAAAAAGATACTTTAATGGTGTATGGTTTTTTTTTTTTTTTTTGAAACGGAGTCTTGCTCAGGTGCCCAGGCTGGAGTGTAGGAGTGTAGTGGCATGATCTCATCTCACTGCAACCACTGTTGCCCAGATTAAAGTAATTCTCCCATCTAAGCCTCCCAAGTAGCTGGGATTACAGGTACCCACCGTCGTGCCCAGCTAATTTTTGTATTTTAGTAGAGATGGGGTTTCACCATGTTGGCCAGGCTGGTCTTGAACTCCTGGCCTTGGGTGATCTGCCCACCCCTGCCTTCCAAAGTGCTAGGATTACAGGCATGAGCCACTGTGCCCGGCCAACCTTTAGTATTTTTACAAAGAAGACTGTCGTAATTGCATGTGAAAACACCCAGCATATTAAGTGAAAAAGCAGGTTAAAAACTAGAAAAGGGGCTGGGTGTGGTGGCTCAGTCCTGTAACCCCAGCACTTTCGGAGGCCGAGTCAGGTGGATCACAAGGTCAGGAGTTCAAGACCATCCTGGCCAGGATGGTGAAACCCCGTCTCTACAAAAAAAAAAAACCAACAACTACTAGAAAATGTAAACATTTGTTATAAAATTGTCATGCTTTCTATAAGATCCTGTACTGTATTCGAACATAGAAAGATGCAGTTATGGCCGGGCGTAGTGGCGCATGCCTGTAATCCCAACATTTTGGGAGGCCGAGGTGGGCAGACCACAAGGTGAGGAGATTGAGGTCATCCTGGCCAACATGGTGAAACCCTGTCTCTACTAAAATACAAAAAAAATTAGCTGGGTGTGGTGGCTCAGGCCTGTAATCCCAGCTACTCAGGAGGCTGAGGCAGGAGAATCACTTGAACTCGGGAGGCAGAGGTGACAGAGCTGACACTGAGCCGCTGCCCTCCAGCCTGGGTGACAGAGCAGGTTCATCTCAAAAAAGAGAAAAGAAAACCATCTTAAAACGTATCAATTTAAACAGTCTCCTCCTGTCCTGAGACAGCCACTATTCGTGGTTTTTTCTAGGCTTTCAGAATTCTTTCTGTACTCGTACAATGTGTCATGGCCGGGCGTAGTGACTAGTGACTCCTGCCTATAATCCCAGCACATTGGGAGGCCGAGGCAGGAAGATTGCTTGAGCCTAGGAGTTCAGCATAGACTCTCTGCAAAAGAAAAATAAAATGTGTGTACACCTAACTTCAGAGTCTTGTAAATAGTACGTGTGGTTTCTCTTCCCAGTGTCATGAATAAAATCTATCTCGGTTGCATGTGAGGTGTACATGCTGTGCATTAAATCACGATTCACCACGTAAGCTGTGGGGTGTAGGAAGTGGCCCCTGTTTTCGGGGTGAGGTGAATGTGAGCTGACCCATGCTTCTGTTTTCCAGGACATGTACTCTGGCACACCCACCAAAGTTAGACACATGGACAGTCAAGCGGAGGACGAGTTTGATTTGGAAGCTTGTTTAACTGAACCCTTGAGAGACTTCTCTGCCATGAGCTAACTGCCACCTGGCGGCCAGGAAGAGAAACAGTTCCTCCCAGACCAGGTGGAAGGATGGCCAGGCGCCAAGCATGTGTGTGCACTTGTACCTGGTGGTTTCTCTGTTAGTAGTCCATTATTTCATGACGAATTGTTATTTTTGCCTTACTTTCTTAAGAAACATTAATTTTATGTATAGTGAGTGTATTTTGCATGTTTTAAAATTGTAAATGGAGCTAAATCCAAGCAAGGTTATACTTAAAGCAATCTTCCAGCAAGCGTAATTGCTTAATTCCTATCGTCCTCCAAGATGAGCAGACAAGTATACTTAACTAGTTTTCCACAGGCATCTTAAGTTGCTGCTTGTGAGATGAATTGTTTTGGATTTAACCATGTAATCCGTGGGACCACTTGAGAGTCAGCTACTTTTATGGGCACCAGACAAAGTACTCTCAGTCAGACACCTTTAATATCTTCATGGAGACTTAATTTTTGGCCTTTTATCAATATGTCACAGCAGAGCTCGGAAGTCAGACCATTCTTAAATTTAGCTGTTAAACTAATGGGTTTTATGTAAATTATACAGTCTTAATTTGGTACTTGTAAATAGCACTAGTCAGGCTCTTTATAATACTCTAAGAGTTGGCGCGGCAGAGCGATTTAGAAAGAACATTTTTAAACAGTTAAGTTACCTGTAAAATTGCTGTAAATGATGATGTGTACAGACTTTCTGTTTATTCATTTGTAAACTTCTTGTTAAGACTGTTATGTTTCTATTGCTTTTGTATGGGATATTGCAAAAATAAAAAGAACCCTCTTTAACTGATATAGGGTGTTGCCGGTTGGGCCAGCTGCCATCAGAGCTGGCATGTTTGGAGGGTCAGAGTTAGGTCTGTCTTGTGTCTGAAGTGAGCGGCACTTGGTGAGGCGGTGTACAGCTGGAAAGAGAATTGTGACCATTCAGCCCTGCCCACCCCTCCTCCCCACACACACACTGGGTAAGGGGCCTTCTTTATTTTTATTTTATTTTTTATTTATTTTTGAGATGGAGTTTCACTCTCGCCCAGGCTGGAGTGCAGTGGCACGATCTCAGCTCACCACAACCTCCGCCTCCCGGGTTCAAGTGATTTTCCTGCCTCAGCCTCCCGAGTAGATGGGGTTAGAGGCATGCGCCACCACACCTGGCTAATTTTGTATTTTTAGTAGAGACAGGGTTTCTCCATGTTGGTCAGGCTGGTCTCAAACCGCCAGCCTCCCAAAGTGCTGGGATTACAGGTGTGAGCCACTATGCCTAGCTAATTTTTGTATGTTTAGTAGAGATGGGATTTCACTATGTTGGCCAGGCCGGTCTCAAACTGACCTCAGGTGATCTACCCATCCCAGCCTCCCAAAGTGCTAGGATTACAGACTTGAGCCACCATGCCTGGCTGCCAGGCACGCTTTCTTTCCAACAGTGCTTCTTGCTCCTCTGCAGAAGCCCAAAACAGTTACTCTGAAAAGCCCTGCTGGTATGGCTTCTAATGAACTGAACCCTATTAAGAGTCAGAATTATATGGGCAGAAGCTGCTGCCAGGTTGGACTGAAAGGGCCAGGCAATACAAATTCAAGAGGCCTTGAACCCTGAAGTTCCTACCAGCAGGAAGCAGGGAGATGAAACTACAGCTGCAAACACAGGCCACCTTTCGTGAAAAGGATGGATAATTCAAAGGTGGAGCCACGAGCCGGGAAGCTTGGAGGAGTGAGGCTGGGCATAGTTGGGTGCAGTTGGGGGACTGCCAGGTGACGTGTGCCCAGTTGGGAGTTCAGACTTAACCGTGGGCCAGGGACTCCTGGGAGTGTCTGTGGCAGGTATCCTAGCTCTGCTGCTGCCATTTGGTGTCGGGGTGTGTGTGTGTGCGTGCTCGCAGTGTGGGTGGGCTGGGGGGGAACGGGGTGGGGACAGTCTTTAAATGGAAAGAGGTTCAACACGGGAGCTGTCTGAGGAGCCTCGTCCATGAGGGAGTGGATTCAGATGAGATTCGGGACTTTGGGCTGATGCTGTGGTGGACGAACCTGGAGGCCTGGCAGGGGCTGAGTGTATCTTGCGTCCTTTGGCCTTCCAAAGTGCTGGGAGTACAGGGGTGAGCCACTGCACCTGGCCAAAATTCTTGGAATGCCCTTAAGTACTGAGGAAATCAATCTTCAGACTTGAGTTCTTGCCTCTTCGCTGCTGTTAACGTAATCTGGTATTTTCTGTATGAGTGTTACAAATAACCAATGGGCTAGGATTGAGTTGTCTTTATTCTCGACTCTTGTACATCGAACCAAGAAGTGTCAGAACTAAATTAAGTTTGCCCAGCATGATGAATTCTTCACAATCTCACACGGATTGCTATCTCATCCCCGTCAGGGAGCCATTTTCTTGTCTTTCCACACACGGCTGGGGTCAGCTTATCAGGGCTGTCATCCCACCTCCCCCGAGGCGTTCCACGTATTGTGAAGCTGTTCTTGTTTCCTGCTGGCCTGCCAGGAACCTGTCCTTCGGTTCTCTTTCAGCAATTCTGCCACCAAGTTGCTGACTCCTCCATCCCTGTGGTAGGAAGATGTCAGTAGGGTTTCCCAGGAGTTAGCAGCCTCTGCCTGAGCCCAAGGCCCAGCCACTTTTGGCTTTCTGGACCTGTGGGGGTGGCTCTTATGATTAATTGATGGGTTTCAGGACCTTTTGTTTGTTTAATTAGTTTTTTTTTTTTTAATTTGAGACGGAGTTTGAGTCTTCACCCAGGCTCCAGTGCAGTGGCACGATCCTGGCTTACTGCTACCTCTGTCTTCAGGTTTCAAGGGATTCTGCTGCCTCAGCCTCCCAAGTGGCTGGGATTACAGATGCCGGTCAACATGCCCAGCTAATTTTTGTGTTTTTACAAAATTTAAAATACATTTTGTACATGTATTGGGTTTTCACTGTGTTGGCCAGGCAGGTCTCAAACTCCTGACCTTGTGATCCGCCCACCTTATCCTCCCAAAGTGCTGGGATTAACAAGCATGAGCCACTGCACCTGGCCAATTTTTTTTTTTTTTTTTTTTTTTTTTTTTTTTTTAGTGGAGACGGGTGTCACCATGTTGGCCAGATTGGTCTCAAACTCCTGACCTTGTGATCTGCCCACCTTGGTCTCCCAAAGTGCCGGGATTACAGGGGTGAGTCACCTGCCTGGCTAGATTGCAGCATCTTTTGTTTTCCACGGAGGCAAATTTGAAAGGTCTGCTAGGAGAAGTCACATTTCAGTACCTGCCAAACTGAAAGTGCTTGGCATATTGGTGTGTTGGCTTCTGCTTTGAATCTTGGTTGGTTTCAGGGGAGAAGCATGCCTATTTAATCACCCGTCAGCATATAATTGTACATTTAAGGATCCTGGCCAGGTGCAGTGGCTTATGCCTGTTGTCTCAGCATTCTGGGAGGCCGAGGCAGGTGGATTGCTTGAGGCCAGGAGTTCAAGACCAGCCTGGCCAACATGGGGAAACCTCATCTCTATTACATATACAAAAGTTAGCCAGGTGTGGTGGTGCATGCCTGTAGTTCCAGTTACTCAGGAGGCTGAGGCATGAGAGTCACTTGAACCCAGGAAGCGGAGGTTGTAATGAGCCGAGATTGCACCACTGAACTCCAGCCAAGGCAACTCTGTCTCAAAAAAAAAAAAAAAAAAAAAAACCCTAGGGTTTTTTGTTTTTATTTGTGCTGTTTGCATTTTAATGTGTGGATGGGACCCCAAGCCACTTGGTAACAAACACACTTCATAAAGTTTTCAGGAAAAGCCACCCTCAGACTCCATAGCTGAGGTTCCAGCAGAGACGCTGACTGTGTAGGGTATTCCTGGCGCCTGCTGCCTGGCCTGGTGCTTTCTGTGTGGTGGGATGTGGAATGCAGACTTGTCATCCCGTCCCAGTTCTGCTGCTTCATAGCTGCATGATGGCCTTCGTGTTCCCGTCTGAAATGGGCATAGCAGCATCTACCGCAGAAAATGGCTCTAGGGATTAAAGGAGGGGATGGCAGGAGGCCAACCGCATCATAATAATAACAACGTAAGACAAATAGAGTTGTTGTTGCTCAGGGCCTCCTCATCCCTTCACTCCTTGGGCTGCACTAATGGGCTGGGTAAGGCCTTCAGGCAAGGATATCAACAGCAGGCACCGAGGAAGTGTGATGCCCACACCAGGGGATCCTCGCTGCTTCGTGGAGGCTGAGAGGTGACAGTTCCGCCCAAAGGGGTTCTGGTCACCCCGTCAGGCCTCTGGAACCCAGTCCTTGAGGTGAACATGAACATGGGGGCATGCGGCATTCCCTGGTGGCCCCAGATGCGGTTTTGAGAGGGGTGACGGCTGACAGCGCTGGCTGCGCTCCTCAGAGAAAACACGTACCCCAGAGTTTCCAGAGGACCCCACCCCTTGGGCAGAAGTGCGGAGGTAGGGGTCTGTCACAGACTCGGGCAGGCACGGTGGGCCCACGTGAGTCATTAAGGCAGCATTCACCCTAAAGCCTCATTGTGTACAGGAACAGTCTTGATTATCTCAGTTTCTGGGGACAAGGAATGTGGGTGTGGCTTAGCAGGGTCCTCCTTCCAGCTCCCACAGGGCTCCACTCAAGCTGCTGGCTGAGGCCAAGCCCTCATCTCAAGGCGGTGCCAGGGCGATCCACCTTCAAGCTCACACGTGTGGCTGCTGGCCTGAACTGGCCCTAGGTTTCTGGCTAGGTGGGCTTCTCCATATGGCAGCTATGTCGTCATTCTGAGCAGAGGGCACAGGACGGTGCAGCACGATGAGGTTGGTCCT